AATTAATAAGCTTTCCATTAATGCATGGTTTATTAGAAATAATCTAAAATGTATTAAAAAAAATCTAAATATTGAGAACAATGCATTTAAAGATATCCTAATTATGTTCTTTGTACAGATAAATCTTTTTTTACTTTAGATTTATTTATGGTAGGAAATTTACAAAATGTCCTAAAACAACAACAACATGATCTATGCTTAATATTCTAATGATGTCTGGCATAAAATGATATTTAAAAATTATTTGGACCCTTTCAATGTATTTTTGGCTACTTCCACAAATATACCTGTGCAACACAAGCCTGCATTTGTCAATAAAATGTACAAAACGTTGAACGTACCGAATCATAAAGGGAATAAACCCAAGGAGGCCATGAGGTCATACTTGCACAATGGAGCTTTTTCTGTAAAATAAAGTGAGTATTTTACAACTACGATGTTTACAATAACATTTAATATAATACAAAGTCAATCTAATGATATAGCAAAACAACTAGTTCAGTGCAGTGGTTCTCAACCTTTTCAGATTGCTTTCTTTCTGTAAACCCATGTGTTAATATATGCTCACTAAACTACAAAGTGTATTTTTTTAAGCATTTTAAAGTTTTTTATATTATATGAATAATACACATTACATAACATAATGTTTTATCAATAACTAGTAACGTTAATAATAATGTCATTGTGCATGCCCCTTGGAAGTTTGCTAAGGTCCTCTAATGGTTGAGAAGCACTGATCTGGACTGGTGTTCTATAATATCCATCACCTGTCTATAGTTCTGGCTGCACCGCTTCTGTGGTGGTGTTGTTTGTGTGTGTTTGGTTTGTGGCGAGTGTGTATGCAAGCGTGGCAGGAACTGCAGTGCACATAAAGGGTCCGGCAGAATCCTCTCAGGTAAAATCTGTACTTTAGCCTGACGAATCCTACAAAAAACAATCATATTTGAGTAGGGCAGTAGGGCTGTGTAATATGTCAATATAAATCTTACAGATAAAATAAAAAGTCTATAATTTCATATTATGCTAGATTATTTATTTGTTTATTGTTTTTGATAATACTCATTTGGATGACTGCAATCTCAGGCAGGCAGACACATGAATAACAGCATGGTGAAAAAGTTTGAAAGTTAAATGTTTATGTTTTGCATTTTATTTAGCAATATATTATGTTGGACCTGTAAACATTAGTTTTTGGGAGGTATTTTAGATTTCAATCAAATTAATTATTTTATAACTCTACACTCTTAATCAAATATTTGCCCTCAATTTCTAAATGAAGCGAGAAATAAAATCATAAATGAATGAGTGCATTTTTGTGTATGTACTTTAAAATGTAAAAGGGATATAGTCCTTTCCATGTAGCCAATTCTGATATATATCGTTAACTTCCTATCATGATAAGAGAGTTTTTGCCATATCGCACAGCCCTATTTCAGAGTGTTTTTTTATATTATTATTGAAGAATAGCACTGGTGTTTATTAGTGTCTTTGATGAAGAGCACAGTGTAGTCTCCACTAAACTGCCTCTGCGTACCCATCTGCTTGTGTGCGTATCTCATGCACTCTGAAGCGTTGTCTTCCGACAGCTTTGATCTTCACTGTCTCAATGCCGTACTCCTGCTCCTCACGAAATGCATAGATCTCTGCAGTCGTCCCAAACTCGGCCTTCGTCTCCGTTCCACTCGGATCAGGGCTGAGAAAGAGAGATAAAAACCAGATGAAACTAAAAGACGTATAAAACTGTGATCTATTAATACATCTTCACTGCAGTCAGCTTTGAAAATGTTAGTGAAGAAGAATGTCAAGTGGTTATAATTCTGTTTGTTTTTAGTACCTGTGTGCAAGCACTGCGAATGTGCGGTCCTGGCTTACGAGGTTGCGAAACATGCTGACCTCTTGTGGTCGGAAAAGTTGCAAGGGCAGTGTCTGACCCGGGATCAGAATGAGAGCCACATGGGGAAGAACCGGCAGATTCTGCACACTGTCCTCATCATGCAGGGTACGGCCGTGAAACTCCTCCATATCTGAGCCAAGATACTTCACAATGCAAACAAACAAGTGTTTATTTCTTATTTACATTTCAATAGATAGGGATTTAATACATAGAAAATATTTTGACGATAAACTAAAATAAGAAAGGCTATTGTGTCCTGTGTGCTTGCATCAATAAAAAAACATAATTTTCTCATAATATACATTTAAATTCACTTCAGAATTTAACCTCATTTCACAAAACCTTTGTGAAAAGTGCAGAGTGAAATTTGCAGACCTCATTTATGCTAATAAAAAAGCAAAACAGGGGCACTCTAGTTTATGAAATCTATTTAAAACATGATTTTACTCTTTCATAGCCTACAAATAAATGTTCTCAAATTCAATTCCTGGAGGGCCGCAGCTCGGCATGATTTAGCTCCAACCACCTCCAACTCACACCTGCTTAATAGCCTCTAGTAGTCTTGAACACCTTGATTAGTTGGATCAGCTGTGTTTGATTAGGGTTGGAACAAAACTGTGCAGAGCTGCGGCCATCCAGGAATTAAGTTTGAGACCCATGCTATAGATCATAAGACAGATGATAATTACAGCATGTGAAGTTGGCAGACTCGTGTCAAAGTTTATAATACTTGGCTTTTCCACATCCTCTCCATCTCTGTCCTCCGTCTCCATGTCATCCTCCTCTTCCTCTTCATTTTCTGTGGAAAAACAGAAACGCAGATATTATGATTAGAAAATTCTTTACTCATGTACACTACCTGACAAAAGTCTTGTCGCCTATCCAAGTTTTAGGAACAACAAATATTAACTTGACTTCTATTTGATCATTTGGTATCAGAAGTGGCTTATATGGAAGGCAAAGGCCAATAGATTGCACTTATTTTACCAAAATTACTATAATTATTTAATTAGGGCAGTAAGGTCTGACTTTGCTTCGACAAATGTCTTGTCACTTAAAAGGAATAATGTACAGTATAGAATATAAAATCATGGTGCAGTGGAAAATTAATTAATATTGTGTTTGACTCCCATGAGCTTGGAGAACGTCACCCACACATCTCTGCAATGTTTCAAATAACTTACTAATAAAGTCATCTGGAATGGCAAAGAAAGCGTTCTTGCAGGACTCCCAGAGTTCATCCAGATTCTTTGGATTCATCTTCAATACCTCCTTCTTCATCTTACCCCAGACCTGCTCAATAATGTTCATGTCTGGTGACTGGACTGGCTATTCCTGGAACACCTTGACCTTCTTTGCTTTCAGGAACTTTGATGAGAAGGCTAAAGTATGAGGAGGAGCACTGTCCTGCTGAAGAATTTCCCTCTCCTGTGGTTTGTAATGTAATGGGCAGCACAAATGTCTTGATAGCTCATGGAGGTAAAGTTGGTTTTATATTCGCACATTCGTTCATTTAGAAGTAACACTGTTTTTCTGACTGTGAACAATTTTGTACTTCGATAATCATTGGCTGCTAATATGATTTCGCTATTTAGAGTTTGCAAATACTACTTTTCTGAAATCATATTATTAAGGGGAAATTCTGAATGTGCGAATATAAAACCAACTTTACCCAAATTCATAGCTCAGTTTGTTGATGTTGCCATCCACACTGCAGATCTCTCGCACACCCTCATACTGAATGTAACTCCAAACCATGATTTTTCCTTCACCAAAATTGGTTTCAATAGGGCTTCTGCTGTATTTGTGATGGTTGGGATGCAGTCCACAGACGATTCATCTGAAAAATCGACCTTCTGCCACTTTTCTAAATTATCATATTTTAAATTATGTGTTGCTCTTGTATCTGGGACCGACCACAAGACTTTTGTTAGGTAGTGTATAAATTACAACCTGTTTCAGGCTACTTTCGATCTCAGCAATCATTTCAGCATAACAAACAGGCTTTAAATAATTAATAATCAACAACAATGCTAACACATTAATACTGACAAAACAGTAACCCAACAAAATGCGTGAACACGTCAAACAACTTTGTAGTCGTGTATACAACAGCAACAAAACGTGTATAAAACAAATATATTTGCTGATCTTGTGCATTAACAGGTGTACACACACTTTCAGTTTGTAAAGGAAGCTCGTCAGCTGTCATGCATGGAGACAGCTGCGGATTTGCAAATGTCTGCAAGAATCTCACGTTTCTGAGGAAGACATTGAAAAGGCAAGCTTTTGATACAGCTATAGTGTGAAAATTAAAAGACAGACGTGCCTGGCAGGAGCTGTAGCTGGTTCCCCATTTCGTCGTTAATGTTGTTGTCACCTCCGCCCCTCTCAGCAGCCATAGCCGTGTGTTTACAATCCGCTCTGAACAAGCGCAGCTCCACCGTGAACAGACACGCGGGGAAAAACACACAGCGCCCTCGTGTGAGCGGATGTTCACGGTGTTAGGACTTTTTTGATTCGACACAGGGAGTCGAATCTTTTAAATTGGTTCACGTTCTATGGGTTCACTAAAAGATAAACTTTTTGTGCTCAGGTGATGGACATTACAATAATTTTTTAACACATGACAGAAAGAACATACAAATAAAAAAATAGCTAATAGCTAAAATGAATTAAATAAACAGGAATAAAATAAATAATTATTAAATAAAAGGAGAAAAGCATCAATAAATTGCATATATAAATTAAAGTTATATAAATGAACATTTTACAATAGAAATATGTCACAATTTTCCTGGAATAAATATAAAATATTGTTTTGACAAAAAAGATCAATTAAATGTTCTTTTAAGGAGGTAACAACTATTTCCAGTAGATGGCGATACATGTGATAAATTGAACGAATATACGAATCTTTTAAGTGAATCATTACACTGAGTTGTTCACGACCGAGTCCAATTTGAAATGTAAAAATAATATACATATTAATTTAGAATACAATCTAAAAAGGATGTTTCATTTTACAAGAAACAATAAATATTTTATAATATGTTTGCGAAAAAGTGTAAAACTTTCTTTATTGTTCATTCCGTTTACAAAGTAATGAAGGAGAATGATTCATTTGAAAGATGATTCAATCAATCGGAGAAAGACTTTTGTTCATTAAAGAAGTTTGGGTCGGCGTTGATTGAAATTTTGCGTTAATAAAACACGCTAAGTCACTGTTTTATCTGGAGAGGTACTTGGTGTAAAAATATACTCAGGTAAGTCCTCTGACATTTATGAGTTTTTTTTATGAAGCCAAAAGGTTTTATGTGCCAAAGTGGGCACAGAACGTTTGCACACGTGCAGGTATTTGAATCTTTCGTTTTATTGCAATATAAAACCAAGCATGATTTATGTTTAAATGAAAGATAACATTGGTAAACCTACAAAAAGACACTTTTAGACTTTAAAATAAGTCACATAAAAATGTGCTGTTCAAAGCAGACTTTTTTTTTTTTAAGAAAGACATACGTGTCAGGAGTGCCCAAACCTTTCCGTATGAAGGGCCAAAAACCAAATATTAAAAGCTGGGCCAAGTTAAACATACCAAACTATATTACATTATAGTATATAATACAGTATATATTACATGTTTTCTTGGGTAAAATTCTCATTTATTTCATATTATTAAAAAACTAAAAACAGTATATATATATATATATATATATATATATATATATATATATATATATATATATATATATATATATCCATCCACCGAGCAATCCCGTGCAAATGACAACCTTGCCATGAAAAAAATGTTTTCACCAAAATATGTAAACCGTTTCTGGGTTTTTGTGTGAGCAAGTATTTTACAGTACTTAAGAAATACTAAAAAATGCATCTGTCAATGTTTTCAAACTATTATATTTGATTTACCAAAGTCACGCAAGTGGCAATTTCACATCCGTCACATCCATGACGGAGATGTGTCACATCCATAACAACACTTTTTCCTTATAAATGTGAAAATATAAAATTAAACAAAATAAAATTAATAATTTTTGTTCTGTAGAGAGAGAGCTCTTCTCCTTTTGATTATCATTATTTCTTTTGGGTTGTGCAGTTTAATTCACTGAATTTCTACAAAGTATGTTGTAGCTGCAAACCCGCAGACTTTTTTGTCACATCCATAACACGTGTTTATTTTCCTCATTTAAAGTATAAAACATGTTTACAGATTAATATTTTTCATGTCCCTTATCTCTGTGGTCAGTTGTTCTGGAAAATATAAACAAAAGTTTCAATATAATGTTAACTTATACTTTCTATGCAAATGTATGTTTGGAGTTTTTACAAATGTCACATCCATAACGCTGGAATTGCTCATATATTATTATTGTATTATGTTGTATTATTGTAATATATTACAATACAAAACAAACCCCCACCACTTTAATACATTATGTATTTCATTGAATACATTAGAGAAACAGAATCAGAATTTTCCTTCATTTGCTTACTGATGTCTGAGCTATTCCAGTGTTATGGATGTGACATTTGCAGTAAAATCTCAAAACAAAAATTCACAGAGTTAATTACATTGAAACATGTTTATATTTTCCAAAACAACTTACCAGAGTTAAGAAAGAATAAACATATCAATCTGTTAACCTTTTTTATTTTAAATGAGGGAAATGAATATGTGTTATGGATGTGACAAAAAAGGTTAGCGAGTTTACAGTCTACAACATACTTTGAAGAATTTCTGTGAATTAAACTGTACAACCCAAAAGAACCCATGCTTATCAAAAAGATAAGAGTTGGCTCACTGTAGAACAAAAACAACTGATTTTATTTTATTTGACATGATTTGCATTTACGAGGAAAAAAGTTCTGTTAAGGATGTGACGTAAAATTGGCACTTGTGTGATTTCAGTAAATTAAATATAGTTGTTTGAAAACATTAACAGAGACATTTTGAGTATTTTTAAAGCACTTGATTGCACAGGAAATGCAGAAACGGTTTTGCTATTTTGGTGAAAACTTTACATGGAATTGTTTGACTGCATTGTACTCTATCCATCAACTGACAGTATGTACATAAATAAAGTAACTTCTCAATAAAACAAACTAACAAACAAAAAGTAACAATAAATTAGAAGTGACAGTCTCTACCCTATCCCCATCATTCTCCCTCTCTTCTCAGATGTGATGGCTGGCCAAATCAAAGTTACCATGGGCCAGCTTTGGCCTGCATGCCTATTTTTTTCTATTGCTTTTAAAAATTGCTTTGAACAACATATTTATAATGAATTATTTCTCATTTGCTTTTCAGGTGCATGATGGCTACAGTATTATGCATGATACTTTTGTTATGTGTGTATGGCTGTCATTGTGTGAGTGACTATTACTCTGTGCTTGGAGTTTCTCGCTTTGTGTCTTCAAGAGACATCAAGAAAGCATTTCACAAACTGGCTCTAAAACACCATCCTGATAAGAACCAAACCCCAAATGCACAGCAGACCTTCACACACATTGCTCAGGGTAAAAGTCTTAAGAGTGTACATTATAAAATACATTAATTTACTTGAATTATTTCATGCATTTAATTTCTTTCTTTTTTTTTCTCCTCTTATAGCCTATGAGGTACTTTCTGACAGAGAGAAGAGACGAGTTTATGATCAAATGGACCATCTCTCAAACCCTGATCAGGGCAGTGAGAGAATGGTCAAGAAAGACCAGACAGAAGACATGGGCAGCAATCTTTTCTCTAATAAAGGATCGTTTCAGAGTAAAAAGAGTTTCCAGCACTTCAGTCTAGAGGAGCTGCTTCATACACTGCAGATGGATGATGACTTCTTCATGGGTGAACAACCTGGTCATGAAGGATGGAGTTTTATTTTTGGACCTGAGGATGATGATAATGATGAAACGGTCCTCTTCAGTGATCTTTTCAACATGTTTTGATGCTTGTGTATCCTCATGAACATGCAGTGTTTTTATTTATGTGTGTGCATTACAGCAGTTCTTATTTTAAGATGCTTCTGTATGATCTTGTTATGTTTTTTATTAAATAAAACGTCAAGTTAAACAGCTAAGAAACACTTCCATATGACTCTTTTGTGGTTTTTACAAAGAGCTGCACAAAATCGGTTTCTAGCAAAGCAAGTGTAATGCAACAATTTTTTTATTCACACATTAAAGTAGAGCTGGGCCAATAAACGATATTATATCGAATCGCAATAAAATGTATGTCAATAACTATGTTAAGCTCTGGATTTTTTACTTTATATTGATCTAAGATACAACCACACAGCAGAAATGTACAACAATTAGAATCTAAAAATGTGTTGATATTAGAGATGTAACAATGTAGACCCAAAATTAAAATGTAAAATCTTAGCTAATTCTTTAAGCCATTGCCAATTTCAGTAAGAAAAAAAAAAGGTAAAACATTTGAGCATTTTATTTTCAACTCAGCTTAAATCAATTTATTTCTAGCGCACTTTCAACCAACCTTAATGGGTACCAAAGTGCTGTACATAAAAACAGAAAAAACATGCAAGGAGCCAAAAACATAAGTTCACAACACATGATTAAAAGCTAAAGAAAATAAGTGTGTTTTCAGTGACCTCTTAAATGACTACAAAGTAGGAAATGTTCTTAAGGAGAATGAAAGATCGATCCAAAGTCTTGGAGCTACTACTGAAAAAGCTCTATCACCTCGACATTTCAAGCTTGATCACAAAACTGTCAAATAGAGTCGATCCTTAGAGCCAAGAGATCTCATGGGTTGATGTATATTAATTAGCTCAGAAATATACTCAGGGGCCGGGCCATGTAGGGATTTAAAAACATACAACAGTAAAACTGGGTCGGTAACCAGCGTAGGGAAACCAGTACAGGTGTGATGTGCTCTCCTTTTTTTGTGCCAGTTAAAATTCTGGCATGTGAGTTCAGGAGTAGCTGCAATCGAGAGAGAGAATCATAACTCACACCCAAATATAATGCGCTGCAATAATTCAGACAAGAAGAGATGAAAGCGCTGAACAACCTTCTCCAAGTCACTGAATAAAGGTCTTCAACTTGGCAATGAACCTAAGATAGAAAAACCTTTTTTTTTTAAAAACCCCATTCTCACATTATACACAAAAAATTATTACTGCTGCTTGATCAAACTACCTATTTAAAATGAGCTAAAACAGCACAATTTCTTAGGCCAGTTTATTTGTTTTATGTTCAGTCCACTTAATTTTGTAAAACATTAGGTTAACTTAAGCGTTTTGTGTTGGGACAACCTGAAGGAATTGTGTTGGGACAACCACCTGGTTAGGGGATTTTAAATTCTTGCATGCTTTGTGTGGGATTGAATTAAGAGAGGAAAATGTTGACAAAATTAATCATGGGTGTTAAAAGTTAATAGAAAGACTTGTTAGAGTTTAATCTTCACTAGTTTGAAGATTTAGATGTAATGCTTTGAGTTTTGAGATTAGCACCTTGCAGTAGCACCCATGCTTTGCCTGTGGGCAGCTTAATTAGCTAAAATGCCTTGCTCTGTGAGCAATAACTGTCCTAAAATTAGTTCTGAGATCGGTCTCAATCAACTGTATATGTAACTTGTGAAATATGCTTAAAATGGCTCTTTTACTTCATTAAGGGTAACTTTAAGCAAAACTAATAGACTTCAAAACACAAAAGACACAAGGAGTGCAAATACAGTTCCCTGTCAGAAAGCTTGTGCTTCTCCACTGGATCACCTCAGGGGTATGTGTTATCCCCACTTTTATTTATTCTGTACACAAATATGTATCAGAGCACATTTGAAAATCATTTTATTTTAAAATATGCAGACAACACTAAGATTGTAAGCCGCCTCAAAGGAGATGAAAATAGTCATGGTCCCATAGTGGATCATTTTGTTGAGTGGTGTGAGGAGTCTAATCTAAAACTTAAATCAACAAAAACTAAGGATATGATTTGAATGTGTGGAGAAATATTTGAGTACCATTATTGACCGATTTTTTAAACTTTGAGGCAAACTGTGATGCTGTGTACAAGAAGGGTGATCAGTGCCTATATTGTCTCAGAAAACAATCACGTTTTCACATTGGCCCCAAAATGCTTACTCTTTTCTATCGTGCTTTTATTGAGTCTATTCCATCCTTCGCTCTGGTGGCATGGTTTGGAGGTCTGTCTCTCAAAAACAGGAATAGACAGAGCCAGGTTATTAGGTGGTCTAGCAGGTTGATTGGTGAATCACAGCTGAATATTGAATCCCTGTATATTAAGCAGCTTTTACAGAATGCCCAGAACATTAGTAGCTGTAGCTCTCATGCTCTGTTGGAGGAGTTTATCCAGCTCTCTTCTGGTCAAAGGTTTTAGATGCTTTTTAGGACAAAACAGTTCAGGAATAGCTTTGTCTCATCATCTATTGTCACTCTGAATAAACTGTAATCTTTTCTAAGGTACTTTGTCTGTGTATACAGTATGTGGTATGTATATGTGTGATTTGTTTGTATCAAATGCCAAACTTTGCAGCAAAAAGAATCTACCTATGGGTACCAATAAAGTCAACTCAACTCAAATGTACGACACATAATAGACATGATATTTTCAGATGTTTGAGTTTAAGTTAAATAAAAATACAAATGTATTAAAACTTATTTGATAAAATCATGTTGGACTAACTCAATTGCATTTGTGTAAATTTGTTTTTTAGTTGGTGCTAAACAAGTTCATTGGATGGAAATCCTGCTCTCAGTTAAATTGAGTTCATCCAATGAGTTATTTTTTGAGTGTACTTATAATGAGCATCAAAAGAAAGAACTTCTTTTCAATCATTCATTCATTCTTAATAAAACTGAATTTTTTCATTAACCTAAATACATCTCCTGTAGTGAAATTCTGCATCAAACCATATCACTATCGAATTGTAAACATGCACATTTGCAGTGAAAACCGTACACGCATATAAAGTATGATCAAAAGCACTGATGCTCTGATAACAGAATCCTTGATAAAACACTCAACCTACTTTATCATGCTCAGCATTTCCTGCTTGAACTGGGAAGGGTGGAGTGTTCAGGGTGTTTTTTCCCTTCTTTGTTCAAACGATGAACAGTAATTTTGTGTCAGTGGGTTTGCCTCTACTATTAGTGTGTCTGTGTGTGTCTCTTTAACATTTGGCTGCGGCAGGTTTGCTGAATGCTTACTTTAGCCTGATGACTGCAAGCCTGATTGAGTCAGACACTTCAGATCCTCTGTGTTTCAGTGAGATAAACCTCCTTCCTCATTTTCCAGCCTTTACTTTGACTGAAATGTGAATGAAATGCATTCAGGTTATGACTAACCAAAAAGACCTTCTTGAGTGAATCATGGAGAATAAATAATTCTCATGCATGTTTTATTTATGTGGAAAGGAAAAAGGGATATCAATAACTGTGTCCATTTTTGTTCAGTTACCATTTCAGTTCCAGAAGTAGCCTTCAGGGTATATGAATTTCAAATAGTGAAAGAAAAGTGCAAAAACTTTAGAAATTTGACACCACGAATGCATAATTTGGCCCTGTATTACTCACTGAATGTAACTTAAAACCAATGTAATACATTTTGCTTTAATTCTAACCTAAAGTTTGAGTGACTGTTGTTGTCGTAATGTAAAAAATTGTGAGTCCAAAATATAAATAACTATTATGTTAAAGTTATACTTGAACTAGACTGTTCACTTCTTTCATTGTACTCTTCTCCTGGAGAATTGAGTACTTAAACTAACCCAGACTAGAGGAGTTTGAGGAAGGAAGCATATTTCTGTAGCTGTTGGGAAAAGGTCATGGCCTTATTTATGCCTATAGAAATGGCTTCCTACAATTAATCATGTATTTAAAAATAACAGTTGCAGATTTTACTCCTAAATCAACTCGCTAGGCACTTTAGATCTGTTATCTAATGAAAATGCCACTTTGTCTCAGTGTTGGGTAAAGTTCTGAATTTGTGAACATATGCTAACGTGTATTATTTGTGTCTGATATTGAGATTTACATGTGTTTCCAATCCTGATGTGCTTTGTGGTTTATTTCGCTGTTCTAATCTGAATGTCAGACCCAGATTAATAATTTCTTTTTTACTACTGCTGTACTTTTTAAAACTGTTTTCTCCTTATTGACGGTATAGTGACAAGTTTGATTAAATTCAGTATATTTATTAAACACTTTTCACAATGATTATCATTCCAAATTAGTTTTTCAAAAGGTGTCATTTATTTAATTGCAATCAAATTCAAAAATAGTTAAGATGTTGAGTGAAGGTGGACATAGAGTTCATCGAAAAATCTCACTATAGCCAATATGCCCTTTCTATTCTCCACATGTTGCCTGCACTTAAGGTGTCTGTTTTTAAGGTTTTCCAGAAGACATTTTTTGTTATGCACTCATCTTGAAGCAATAGTTTACCTTAAAAAAATGAAATTTTACCAATATAGGAAGAAAGAAGATAAACAGATAAAACTGATCACTGGTATATACACCAGAACAGCCCGATGCAGAAACTTCCCTCAGCCAATCCACCTTATAATAGTAATTGTGAAACAAACATCACTACTTTTTATGCACATATACACTTACTTATTTAACAACATACTTTACATGCCAATTTGCACATAACACATTAACCAGTTTTGCAAATTCACTGTACATTCACTCGTCAATTTGTATATTTGCATTCACTATTTACTTCTATTTTTAAAATAAATGTATCTGTTTTTGTCCTGTCTCTGTCATTCTGATGCACTAGAAGCTGTCACGAAAACAAACTCATCCTATTTGTGAACATACCTGGCAAAAAAGCTATTTCTGATTCTGATTCAAAGAAGACATTTTGAAGAATGTTGGCAGCCATAAAGACATCCACAGCATGTTAAAAAAAAAAGTCACAAGTAACATCCCTTCAAAACATCGTATTTTGTGTTCAGCACAAGCAAGACACTCAAACTGGTTTTATTGGAACATTTATGACAGACATTTGGGCTTAATTATCCCTTTAAGAGCAGATACTGCTGTCTGCACCAAAGCCTGTTTTCTCTTATTTTTATGAGTCTATTATAGGCCTAATATCAGCCTATGTTGTTTGTGGGATATAAACAATATAATTTTTCCTTTCTCAGTTTTGTTTGTACCTGAACAAACAAAGTGGCTAACTGTCTACACGTTCTATATGTTTAAATATTTTATTATCAATAATGCATTTTTCCTTGGTTTAAAAACTGCTGTTTTGCTTTGGTCTCGACGCCCTTTCCTCAGGAAGTCAAGACTCGTCCGTGAGCGTGTGTGCGCGCGCCCGTGATTCTCGCCTGCTGTCCTCCTGACTCCTGGACTGCTGTAACGGTGCAAAATGAAGTGGGAGAATGCAGTAGTTGAGGCATAATCTCGTGTTATAATCCCGTGTGAATTACAACTTCATTGTTAACAAATGGATTTCAACCGTCATTGCCGTGTCTCAGATGCCAGATGATGTTCGACAAGAAGGACAGGTGAGTTTCGAACATGATATTGTGCTTATGAAAAACAAAAGTGTGGTAACTTTATTTAGGAAACGAGAATGTGTATCTGATTGAAATGTAAACGTCTGAGAAATGTATTAAATAGTATATTGAATTGCATCAAGTTTAGAGCATCACATTTTACGACATATTGTGCACTTAGTCTCTTAATTTCTCTTAAAATATGACTGAACTGAACTTAACTGCATTTTTTAGGCTAGTTTAGAGGAATTTACATCTATTTCTGATACCACAAATGCGAACTTGTAGTTGTACAGTTATGTTTAAAACAATTGAGCAGAAGATATTAGGCTAATAATTTTGTTATTATCCCTTTAATTGCCTGCTCTACCAACTGGTTGACCATATTTTTACAGTTTTAAATAATGGCAGCTAAAGTAATTTAAAGAATGACTGTTTTAAATAATGGTTTACACACACAGTATTGCTGGTTTACAAGAAAAAAAATCTACTACACTTTGGTTTTATTTTGGTTTTATTGTTAAAAAATTCAAGAAAGCTTGTTAAATGAGAATCTGAAATATTTTATAGCATACTTCAAAAATTAAGATGATTTAGTATTATTTTTTTAAAAATATATTTTTGTTAAATAAATTGGTCTTGCACTTCATATTTTCAGATTTTTCATAGTATATTTATTCATTCCAGTACTTTACAACTGACATATATACCATTTGGTAGAGGCTGATATTTTAGAAATTATGGGATGTGTTGAAAAAAAATGCATTGAGTGTGTTATAGCGATATTAGGAGTTAAGAAATGCAATTAAAAATGTTCTTAGTGAAGCAGTTAAAGGGTTATGAGATTGTTCCTTCCACTTTGGGAACTTTTGGTCTCTGGGACACAATATGTTCTGCTTATTATTATTAGGCCTAATATGTATATGATTGGGAAAAGTAATTAATTTATTAAAAACATGTTTGCCGCCATGGTATATATTGCGTTTAAAAAAATCTAGTAGTAAAATTGCATGTTGATCACATAACAGATATTTAAATGTTTTTTTTATCATTATATTGATCATAATAATAATTCTCTCTGTGAAATTTGTGCCTGTGACAGGTAGAATGTATAAAGACAAAATAATGTTGAAGTATAAACAGAATTATACATACAATATTATATAGATACTAAATATACACAAAGCTGCTCATATCTGTAAATGAAGTGATGAATATTAAACACCTTTACATATGTTGATGCAGTTGTTTGTGTATACAAAGATGTGGTAGACTAAAAAAAAAAAACATTCATTTAAAGAATTGACATTTAATATTTTAAATCTTATCTGATATTTTGCCTCCACAACCTGCATCATTCAGCTGTAAATAGATAATGCACAAACCAGATGGAACTACCTTTTGATGCAATGAATTATTACAGTGTTTACAAGGAGACTTTCCAGCTCTGCTGTAAATATTAATATTTACTTTTATGCATTGTCTTTCAGAGCTTCAGGAGCATCCGCCGAGCCTCAGAGGACACTTCCAGGCTTAGTCACCTGTCCCTGAAGATTGTCGGGATCATCAAAAACCCAAAACATAAGCAGCATTCAAACATCTCAGTGCAAAAAAAAATGTACTTCAACATGCTTCACAATAGCAAAAGTCTAAGTTCTCCAAACTCAAGAGAGCAAACACCGAAAGTGCACAGAAAAATTGTAGTGGAGCATAAGGGGTCACAAGAGAGGAGGACAAATAAAATAGTATATCCAGAAAGAAGACTACAAGTTGATGAGACAGAAGTGGAAATAATTCTGGAACAGGGAGATGAGTTAGGATGCGGGGATGAGCTAGCACATGGAGTTGATTTAGATTTAGCGGAGGGTTTAGAAAAAGACAAGCCATTGGAGTCGGAGGATGATGAAGTGTCAGTTGACCTTCATTCTGATTTATATAGTAAGAAAGAAGTAGATTATAACATAGTAGCAGAGGAGCTACAAGTAAAGGACATGGGGAAGGCAGCATGGGGGCTGACTAAAAATGGTAAAAATAAAAGTTCTCGTAACGTTCAGCTGGCTTCTAATGCAGTTTATGAAAGCTTAGCACACGCAGATCGATTACTTTTTGACAAAATGTGCACTGGTAAAACTTTAATTGAATCATTTTACCCTAGTGGTATAGTAGCAGACAGGATGTTTTCAAGTGAAGAGGACATTGATGTGATGTTCCCAGATATTTGTGATGCAGGGGAGGCATTAGCAGACAAAGATGGACTTTCCGAGTGTGACCTCTTTGAACAAACGGAGCCTCTTCAATTAACAGAGACAAAGGACAACATTAATGGAGATATTATGATGCTTACCATTGAGGAGGGATTGAACAGCTCTGATTTATCCTCAGTCGAGGAAGAGTATGATGAAATGCAGATGGAAAAAGAGCTGATGGAGGAACAAATAAACAAATCTGTTGCAGGCAATAAAGCTGCTATTCCCTCAAACAGCGAAGAGTCTGATCATCCCTCAAATTCATCTTCATCTTCTCAGACTTGTGTTCTTTCAGGGTCCGATACAACCTTGGATGAAATAACAAATAACAACTACAATAGCAAAAATATGACTGAAAGCGATGAAGCAATTTCTGCCATCTTAAATCTTGTTCTTGTTCAGCAGCAACCTGAAACCCAAGACCAAAATTCTCAACAATATCAAGACGAAGAAAGCAATGGGGAAGACAAAGAAGAACAAGTGGTTGACAACCTGAGTGAATCTGAAGGAAAAGAACTCATGGTAGACAATGTGTATGAGGAGACAGAGCCAAAAATCCAAGCCAAGGACTTCCTCCAGAACAGGAAGTACTTTATGAGTCGTTCTATATCTGTGGAAACCCCCGGTAAGAGAGCTGACCTACTGAGCGGCCTTCCAGCAGGAAATGGGCGGCTTTTGCTACACCCACAGGCCTTCTATACAGACCAGTGTTTGTTTGGAGATAGCAGACCTGCACTGACAGGTTCGTTAGGATGTCTTTCACAAGGCACACGCACATCAAAAGTCACTCGAGTGGATATACCGCCCCCTTTTGAACTGGCATCCATCACGAAGCGACCAATCAGAAAGAGCTCACCGTCTATTCCCAATGAAATCTCTGCTTCATGTAAAAAGCCTGATTTTGGGTTCAAGCGATACCTTCTTCCATTGCGGTTCCTTAGGAAATCTGATCGAAAGAGTATGATGGATACTCGCTCCATCTCTTCCAGATCCTCATCCGAATCAAGTCCGCAAGGATCATGTAGACGCATGGATTTTATCCGACATAACATGGGCAGCCCAGAGTTGCAGAGGAGTCCAGATTGCACTCCGCCGGTGTCCCCTTCTTCCTTTCTCTCTCATAGGAATAGACGAAAAGAGGGACTAAATTTCTCCCTAAATAACGATTTGGCTTGTAGCTCCATATCGATTGAGCCAGGCTTCCTCTCTGAGCCCCTTCCCCTTTCCAAACCTCGATCATTTTCATCTCCGAATACAGATTCCTCTGAATACGAGAATGTTCAAAATGTTGCTTCTCACTATGAGAATGTGCAGATTCGCCTCCTGAATCCTGTCATTCAGGGTCAGCGAAATCAGAGTTCACCCAGTGACACTGATGGTTACGTGGACATGAGCAGTCTGCCAGGCTTCCAAGGCAAAAGTCAGTCATCTGAGCAAGAGACAGATAGGTACAGTACAGTAGTTTATAAATTAATTACATTCATTTTATGACACTCATTTCAATACATGCAGTTAATACACCAATTTCTTTGGTAATATGTTCCGGTTTTGAAGAACTAGACAACCACATTCAGTTCATCTTTACTGTCGGGATCATAATTTGTGTTATTTAATGAATCAAAAACGTGACAGATAGGTTTTAAATTTAAGGCGAATAGACAGAATATATCAGTTAGTAAAATCATGATAGATTTTCATTTTTTCAATAATTTTTCTTTGACTTAGTCCCTTATTAATCAGGGATTGCCACAGCAGAATGAACCGCCAACTATGTTTTACACTGCAGATGCCTCTCCAGCCTCAACCAAGTACTGGGAAACACCCATATACTCTCACATTCACACATGCACTCATGCACCTATAAAAACATGTGTTTTGGATTGTGGGGGAAACCGGAGCACCCGGAGGAAACCCACGCAAACACGGGAGAACATGCAAACTCCACACAGAAATGCCCAGCTAGGAATCTAACCAGCGACCTTCTTGCTGTGAGGCGACAGTGCTAACCTCTGAGCCACCATGCCGCCCTAGATTTCCATTTATCCCTTATTTTAATTTAATATATATTTTTACTTTTTATTTTATTGATTTTGTCAATATAATCCACCAAAACACTGTATTATGCATGCCAAGGCAGTTGGTGGTGTCACTCTTCTTCCATGCACAAACGCTCCTTTTTTGTTTTGATGCCAGAGTACTTTAAAACTTGTGATACGCATGCGCATGACATGACCGTTTTCACACATCTGCATCATAAAACGTTTTTGCATCTTAAAATAATTTTCAGACCACCAAAAATGTCCTGGATGTCCCGTGAATAAATAAACAAATTACATACAATTTTTTTATTTTTTTTTACATTGTCATACGTATGTACCTTAAAAGCCATATGTCTGACAAAGTACCTATTTTATGATTATAATAAGTATTGTTCTGTAAAGTTAAATGGCCTATTCACAGTAAAACATATGTTTATTTAAAGCATCTACTGCTGTTCTATTATCTCAGTGCTTAAGTTCTTCCTAGCAGTATAGATTTTGATTTGCTGTTATAGTTTCTGGTTCATCAGCTAGATAGATTGATATTTGGATTCTGGTGCATATATATACATATATATATATATATATATATATATATATATATATATATATATATATATATATATATATATATATATATATATAATAAATTGTATTATTATAAAAGTATTATTTAGCACTGGGTGTGGTTCTATCTTTTTAAAGACTACTCAAATTCATTAGAATCAAATGTTGCATTACTGCATAACTTCTACTGCATAACTTCCACATTTTATATTAAGAGGCTGGCTCAGCTGCTCCACTACCGCTCCCTCTCAGACCGAAACAATTAAAATAAATAGCAGTGTGGGGTTTTTGTTTAACATTAGAGCACCTAAGGAAATCTCATAGCTGTAACAAGGTTTCTGGAGCCTTATATGCCACTTTAGTGGCCAACTACAACATAAAACCCTAAAAACACGACACAATGTAAACAAAAGAAAATATTTTCAATTTTCAATAATTTTCAATTATTCAAGAGGAGACAAAAATAAATAACTCAGATGAGGAACAATCCGAAATAATAAACAAAGCTAGCAAACTAACTAAAGTTAAAACTGCTTTTTTATTTTAAGAGACAACATGGACTTATATCCGTGCTAACCTCGATACAGGAGAAAACTGAAGAAAATCAGTTCAATTAATGCAAAACAACCACATTTTCATAACATAAAATACAAAACATTCTTGTTAAATAAAAAGCATAAAGTGTTGTGTATGTGTATCATGATTCTGCTTTTTCTGTTATCAGTCTCTACACTTTCTGTTCTCCAAATGTGAGGGCAGATGGAACGGTGGGTGTGTTTGTAGGCGTGGCTTGTGCACAAGAGAAAAAGACAACGGCTCCTGACAAACTGGTGAGCTTATTGTGGTTGCTTCTCCAAAGATATCTACATACATGATATATGTATAAATGTATCATGTTTACATTTGTAACTCAACCTTTTTATTTCAGACCGTCAGCTGCTCCAGAGCCTTCTATAGTGCCAAAGAGCTTCTGGATAGCGAAGCCCAGTAAGTCTTGAAAACAGCACCACAAGTGTAACACGTTTCAAATCATTATTAAAAAAAGCACTTAATGAGTCTTTTTTTCTTCATTTTAAGGCATGTTAAGACTCTACAACTTCTCTATGAGGTGGGCTATTCAGATATCTATTAGTGACATTGTGTGTTTGCCTGTGCCTTTATTGAGCGTCAAAGCTCTTTATTCTAGCTCTCTATTGAGACTTCAGAATTGTTTCCTTTTATTGTAGATTTGGCAGTATCTTCAATGTTCTGGAACAATTAAATATAACCTCGGATACACTACACAACAAAAACAGTGAAAAAGATAATAATTTTAAGGATGTTTTCTGTCTGCTTTCACAAAATAGTCAGTTAATGCTGATGAGAGGTTGATGACGGTGTGGACGGAGGTACCTGATATTTGTACTCTTCACCAAGATATTCACACATTACTCGAGACGCGTCTAAAAGAATGGTGAGATGTTCACTTATGTCTTCAAGTGCTTATCATCCACAAATGATGTCCATCTGTCTTCATCTGTTTTCTATATTTCACTCCAATCATAAGGGATCAGAACGAAGGTATCGCTGAAATCATCCTGGCGAAGAAGACAGAGTTTTCCATTTTCTCGTCTTACATCAGTCATTATGATGACAAGTTGAATTATCTGGAACATATACAAAGCACAGTAAGGGATTTTTTGGTTTTAGTTTTCATCGATTGATCAAAAGTTGTTATTTTAAATGGGCTTATCCATCTATAAGGCATTCAAATCATTTGTTACCACTCAAAATGTACAGCAAGATTCATGTGTGTTTTGTACTGTATTAGATGTGAATGTGTTTTAGCTTTGTTTTCAGTTCCTCAGAAATGTTATGTATTTCAATATGTGTGTATATCTCAGTTATCAGATTCAGTGACCCTGAAAAAGCAGCTGCTGCAGGTCATTGTGCGCATCCTACAGTACCGCATGCTACTGACAGGTGACTTTTAAATGTTTCATTCTGTGAAAAGGTTTCCTTTTTTAAAAAAAGTACAGATTTTTATTTTTTTTATATACTTAAGGGTCACCTATTATGCAAAAATCACTTTTAATAGTGGTTTAAACACAGTTACAGTCAGGTTCATAAATATTGGGACATTGACACGATTCTAACATATATGGCTCTATATATCAACACAATAGATTTGAAATGAAACCAGAGCAAATAAGTTGTGCTTTAACTGCAGCCTGTTTGTTTTAAGCTGCGGTCACACTGCACTTTCCTCCCCATAGACTTCCATTCATACGCACGCAAATGCCTCTGACCAGAAACGCAAGGTTGCAAATCAAGTTTCGCAGTTCACTGTGTTGAAAAGTTCAAGCTTGGTAAACTCTGACCTGCGAAATTGCATCACTTGACTGCGTGAGACCAATCAAGGATCAAAACATGACCTCTCTGAATAGAAATTTTAAATATGGAGCAATCGCTTGCTTTTCTTAATGTCTAATTATCTTGTTTAATACTGCCCCTTTTCGCAGAGCCATACAACATACAATTTCACAAGCTCAAACTCTAGTGTGAATGCGGCTTTAATTTGAGGGTTTTTACATCCAAATCAGATGAATTCTGTAGGAATTAAAACAGTTTGCATATTTGCCTCCCTTGTTAAAGGTCCAAAAGTAATTGGAAAATATTGGCTTCTTAAGCTGCGCTCACACTTGACTTTTTTCCCCATTGACTTCCATTCATACACACGCAAATGCGTCAGACAGGAAACGCAGGGTCATGCATTAAGTTTCACAGGTCGCTGCGGTGCAAAGTTCAAGCTTGGTGAACTCTTACCTGCGAAATCGCATCACTTGACTGCGTGAGACCAGTTGAGGATCAAAACATGACCTCTCTGGACAGAAATTTAAAACATGGAGCAATCGCTCGCTTTTTTAAATGTCTAATAATCTTGTTTAATCCTGCCCCTTTTTAGCAGCACCATACAACAGACTTTCGCACACACAAACTCTATTGTGACCGCAGCTTAAGCTGTTCCATGGCCAGGTGTGCGTTATTCCCTCATTATCCCAATTACAATGAGCAGATAAAAGGTCCATTTCAAGAGTTCATTTCAAGTGTGCTATTTCCATTGGGAACCTGTTACTGTCAACTCTCAAGATGAGATCCAAAGAGCTGTCATCATTAGCATAGGATGTTAGTCTTGTTTTTGAATCTGCCACTATACTGACACATAGGCATTTATAGCTCCACCTTCTATTAAAAGGAGCACAATCTCAATTTTGAATTCAGTTTCAAAGAGCTATAAAACTTTATTTGTTGTCTATTTTGAGCTGAAATTTCAGACAATCTTTTAACATCTTGTAAAACGAGCATAATAGGTCCCCTTTAATATTACTTATTTTTCATGTTTTATTACAGACTACCTAAATAATCTCTCACCAGACTCCAGAGAGTTTGAAAATACACAAGGTAAATTTGCTCATTGATTATTATTTTTGTTATATAACATATATTTAAAATATATTTTGTATGTTTGTCTATCTATTTTTAATTTTGGATTACTGTAGAGTGAACGCCATTTTGTTTCCTAATTTAGTTTTAATTCGTTTCAAGAAAGCTTTGTGTGATCCTTATCTTGTTTGCAATTACAAAGGAAGTCATCTATCTTATCTCTGAGTGTGTATATAATTGATTTTCTTAAGCAACAGCAAGTCTCAGATCTTGTAGATAGTTTCAGAAAAGGAAAATGACCTTTGACCCCTTCATGCCTTTTCATCAGTCTTCTAAAACAAGCCTGTCTGCGTAATTTATTAATGATGATCATTTATTTATGAGGCGCTGCTACAGGAGTGTATCTGATTTAAAGGAGGATCTACTGTTATATTTCGCACTGTGATGCGCTATGCTTAATGTGCATTTTTTAAAGCATTTTTAAATGTTATTTGCACTCTTTAATGAAGTCAATGTGTACTCAATAAATGTTAAGTAATATATTTATTGTATATTTTAATTTATTTTTAATACTTCATTATAAAATTATCTTTTAAATATTCTAAAGTGCCTCTTTTGTTCACAGATGCTTTGGTCGTGGTCTCAGATGTTGCTTATCATGCCAGTGATAGTCTTAAGAATGGAGTGAGTATTTGAACATTGGCTGAATATGCTTGCAAAGAGTGTAGATAAGGATAAATGCTTGTGTAACCTAGGCGTTATGCAGATATGGCACCACTGTGCAATTTTAGCATAGTTTTTCTTTCTGACAGGCGGATCTCATGCGTTTGGTCCATATTGAACATAGTGTTCTTGGTCTCACAGATCTCATTCAGCCTGGGAGAGTGAGTAATTCAATGACTCCATGATAAAATTATATCTTATAACACATATCCTATCAAATTGGATGAAATTGTCTTTTAAAAACTTGTTTAATGTGCTATTGGTGAGCATAATTGTCTGTCTGTAGGTGTTTGTGAAAGAGGGCACACTGATGAAAGTCAGTAGAAAGTGCAAACAGCCACGTCACCTTTTCTTGGTATGTTTATTTCCCTTAAGAATTGTTCAGCTTAATTATCAGCAATACAGAGGTTGCATTAGACAATCGGTCACTGCTTGGTTTTAAAGAGATAGTTCACCCACAATTGAGTTTTTTAAAAACAATTTTTAGAAGAAGTTGTGGTCTTCCATAAGCAAGGTCATTAGTCATTTGGGAGTCAAAAACCATGTACAGGGAAAGCTAAATGAATACCCACGACAACTGACACACTGAGGTCTAATGAAGTGAAATGAAACTAAAACTGAACATTATTTATAACATTAGTAACTTTAACATAACACTTCTGCCAAAACAATCCAGGTGACATTTTTTTTCAGTCTGAAACATGAGCTGTCTGTCACATAATTATGTATATTATATGTTGGGAATCTGTGAATTCAATCTTCCAGACTGAGATCCCACACAATAATGTAATCTTAACCTTTTATATAGGTTGCAGCATCCAGGATAAGTACAACTATCATTTTGATAAGCAGTAAGGTAGTAGTAGTTTAGTTGTAGTACTTAGTAGTTTGTACCCATGCTTATCTCATTATATATACAGTGCATGCGGAAAGTATTCATAGCGCTTCACTTTTTCCACATTTTTTTATGTTTCAGCCTTAATGATAAATGGATGATATTCTTTTATTTCCTCAAAATTATACACACCATACCCCATGATGACAATGTGAACAAAGATTTTTTTATATTGTTGCAAATTTATTAAATATAAAAAACCTGAAAAAATCATTCAGCTTTAAACTGAGCTCAGGTACATTCTGCTTCCACTGATCATTCTTAAGATGTTTCAGCAGCTTGTTTGTAGTTCACATGTGGTAAATTCAATTGATTGGACATGATTTGAAAAGGCATACACCTGTCAAGGTCTCAGGGTTGACAGTGCATGTCAAAGCACAAACCAAGCATGAAGACAAAGGAATTGTCTGTACACCTCCAAGACAGGATTGTCTCAAGACACAAGGCTGGGGTAGGTTATAGAAACATTTCTGCTGCTCTGAAAGTTCCAATTAGCACAGTGGCCTCCATCATCCGTAAGTGGAAGATGTTTGGAACCACCAGGTCTCTTCCTAGAGCTGTCCGGCCATCTAAGCTGAGTGATCGGGCAAAAAGGGCCTTAGTCAGGGAGGTGATCAAAACCTGATGGTCACTCTTTCTCAGCTCCAGTGTTCTTCTGTGGAGAGACGAGAACCTTACAGAAGGACAACCATCTGTGCAGCAATTCACCAATCAGACCTGTTTGGTAGAGAGGCCGGACGGAAGCCACTCCCCGCCTGGAATTTGCCAAAGGGATCTGAAGTACTCCCAGACCATAAGAAACAAAATTCTCTGGTCTGATGAGACTAAAATTGAACTCTTTGGAGTGAAAGCCAGGGGTTACGTTTGGAGAAAACCAGGCACCGCTCATCACCAGGCTAATACCATCCCTACTGTGAAGCATGGTGGTGGCAGCACCATGCTGTGGGGATGTTTTTCAGCAGCAGGAACTGGAAGAGGAAATAGTAAGGATAGAGGGAAAGACGAATGCAGCAATGTACAGAGACATCCTGAATGAAAACCTGCTTCAGAGTGCTCTTGTCCTCAGACTGGGGTTCATCTTGCAGCAGGCCAATGACCCAAAGCACACCACCAAAATATCAATGGAATGGCTTTACAACAACTCGGTGAATGTCCTTAAGTGGCCCAGCCAGAGCCCACCCCTAAATCCTATTGAATATCTTTGGAGAGATCTGAAAATGGCTGTACACAGTCACTTCCCATCCAACCTGAAAGAGCTTAAGAGGTACTGCAAAGAGGAATGGGCAAAAATTCCTAAAGACAGGTGTGCCACGCTTGGGGCATCATATTCAAAAAGAGTTGAGGCTGAAATTGCTGCCAAAGATTTATCAACAAAGTATTGAGCAAAGGCTGTCATACTTATGGACATGTGATTTTTCAGGTTTTTTATTTTTATAAATTTGCAACAATTTCAAAGAATCTTTTTTCAATTTGTCATAATGAGGTATAGGGTGTAGAATTTTAAGGAAATAAATTAATTTATTCCATTTCGTAATAAAAAATTTGGAAAAAGTGAATCGCTATGAATACTTTCTGGATGCACTGTATATATAGTTTTAGGCAAAATTATTAGCCCTCCTGTGAAATTTTATTCTTTTTCAAATATTTCCCAAATGATGTTTATCAGAGCTAGACCATTTGTCACAGTATTACCTGTTATGTTTTTATAATTATATTATAAAATAATTATATATGTTATGTTTTAATTAATTATATATGTAAATTTGAAAAATGATGGTCAATGTTATTAGCTCCCTTGACAATTATTTTTCTTTCCATTGGCTACAGAACAAGGCAATTTGCCTTTAAATTGCACTTTAAGCTGAATTATATTATCTTGCAAAACTAATAAGTTATTATACACTTTCATCATGGCAAAGACAATGTTTTTAGAATTAATTTAATTTAATTAATTCTTTGTTTTTAGAATTAATTTATTAAAACTATTGTTTAAAAATGTGTTGAGAAAAAATCTCTGACAAACAGCACTTGAGATATGTTTTAAATAGAATGAATGTTTCAGGTTAGAGAGGTCTGATCATTTTGTCTTGTTAACTGTATATACTGTAGATGTCCTGAAGACCATTTGCAGAGACTGTAAAAATATTTTAAATAATGTTCAGTCTTAATTTTTTTGTTAGTAAATGTTTTTTAGGGGAACTGCGTCTTTAAATATCACATTCATTTGCTAAGATGAGATTGTGAGAGTTAAGCTAACGAGATATAGTTGCTTACTTTCCCCATAGTCTCTGTTGTCTCTCCTTTGTGTTTGTGAGCTATTTTACTTGTTTTTAGAGTTTCCTGGCAGGATGTTGTCCTGTGTGTGTTTATGTCTACATGTGCTATTGTTTTTCCATGCTGCTCTCACCCCAGAATAAGTCTGTGGGAACGGGGACAGGTCGGCCTGTTGAGATAACCGAACAGAGGGTGACAGGACGGACGTGAGGTGGGCTGTCAGAAATACTTTATATTTCCAGACAGACAGCAGTGTGGTGAGATGGGCACGTGGCACAGAGAGTGCCAGCCTCAGATCTCCCTCATGTTTTATTGCTTAATACGGGGGACATTCTGTGGCCGTTTATAGTTTCTCATGCAGAAGAAGACAAAATATGCTCTCTTATCAAGAATTATCTGAGGGTAGGGAGGCACTTCTAAATCCACTGTTTTCACAACATTCCGTCTACAAAGATGTATTTTGGTGTTGTTCACTGAATTTTAACCTTCACTATGATAACCTGTAATTATTTGCACATGGATTGGTACTTTGAAATAAGAACATATTAAAAGAAGAAAAATTACGGTAACCAGGGGCGCCGCTGGTTGTTACAGCCCTATGAAAACATTTTGTGGGTGTCACAGATGATAGTGAAGAGAAGGAGGTGTTACGGCTACCTTAATTACTTGTTACAACAAGATTGTTAGCTAATGTATTAATTAACATTTTAATTTAAGCTAAATGTAAGAAACATTAATTCATGTTAATGTATAATTGTCATGTATAAATTTATAAATGTCATGACTTTACTTGGAGGGGCACATCACCATTTACTTATGCTTAACTACTCATGAAGTCCCGTGTTTAAACTGTTTATGTTGATGTTGACTGAACTCTGTTCTATTGTTATTCAGTGTAAACGCACTAAACGGACATGCATAATGCCTCATTCACACTAGCAGCAACTTTATAGCTTCCTGTCGCTCTGAGTAGCGACCTGCTACAAACGCAGGTCTGTATAGGTCGATAAAGCACGAATACAACTGGCCTCTGAGCAAGCTGAGAGAGGATCAGTGCTCCAATTAGCTGTGGCTCAAGAAAGTCGCTCTTCATTTGCATAAATTAGAAGGATACTCAACTTTGTCACATTGCTTGACACGCCCACCTGGTCACCAACGATAGATGTCGCTTGCGTAGTTCGCCGGAAGTCGCTCGCTCTTCGCTGAAATGAAGGGTCGCTTGTTCTTTTGCCACTGCGAGCCACTTGTAGTGTGAATGAGGCTTGAGGAGTCCATGAGTGGTTAAGAATGGGTAAATGATGATGTGTCCCTCCAAGTAGTCATAATACAACTATACATTAACATATCATGAGTTCATGATGGTTAAATTAAGCATAAACTAATGTGGTAATTAATACAATAATTAACAAACAACCATATACTAACAAGTAATTTAGCAAGGCAAGTTTATTTGTATAGCACTTTTCATACTCAGTGCAGTGGCAATTCAAAGTACTTTACATAAATAAGAATGAAACAGACAAGTATAAGAAAATAAAAAACATAATAAAAACAGATTAAAATGTGTTAAAGCAGGTTATAAAAGAATGAAAAAGAAAAGAATCTGTCGGACGTAGCACATTCAGTAAAGGCACAGCTAAACAATTAAAGTAAGCGTTATTCACTCATGAACTCATGTTGTAGTTAAAGTTAGTTTATGATTAGCACATGCATTAGCTCATCATTAGTTCATAATAAATTAATGTTTAGTGTACATATTAGCACATTATTCATGTACTGTTATTGTAAAGTGTTACCGGAATGACATTAGACGGAGCAATTCATGAATAAAGACTAATATTATATTTTGTATACATTGCTATACTTGTTATATATGCTGTGTTATTTAGGCTTGAAATCTGGTTTGAAATCATCATATAAAAAAACCCTTCCTAGATATTGGTAATTTTTTTTCTCTTTGTAAAGTATTAAATACTTCTTGGTTTCACTTCACACAACCTCAGTGTATCACCAGGAGCCAGTGGGTATTGATTTTGCTTTTCTTGTATGTTTTTTTGTTTTTGTAATTAGCTTCTGACTTTGCTGTATTTTGGGTGTACTTTGTGAAACATTAAGTCATAATTAAAGATACAGTACACCCAAAATAGAAAACTGCTTGTGGTCAAAAATGAAAACAAACTTATGGTCAAAACCAGTGTCATAGTGACCCCTTGTGGTGAACATTGGTGACCAACTCAAATTAAGGATCTTTAGAATGAAAATGGCCAGTTAATTTTCTCACCACTTGTCCTTCAGTGTTAATAGTTTTTTCTTCAGTCAAAAGTAAGGTTTTTGAAGGTTTTGACGATTAGATTTCTGTTTTGTGGTGCTCAGTGGTTTACAATTCCATATTGCAGTTTAAATGCTGCTACAAAGGCCTTCGTTTAAATGAACCCAGCTGAGGATTAAGGGTTTTACCTATCAAAACTATCAGTCATTTTCTTGTTGGTGGTTCATTCTGCTGTGGTGACCCCTGATAAATAAGTGACTAAGCTGAAGTAAAATGAATGAATGTATACTTTTTATCCTCAATTTTCCACAAATGACCCATCATTTCCTCAGCTCGGGTTGTATTATAAAGCTGCGTTGAAACTGCAAAGCTTCTGAGCACCATAGACGTCCACTATAAGATAAATCCTGCATGTTTTCCTAAAAAATACCCTTTCTTTTGGACGAAGAAATAAATTAAGGTCTTAGATGACAAGGGGTGAGTAAATTATCTAAAATGTTTATTCTGAAAGTGAACTAATCCTGTTAAAAGTAACAGAACACAATATTATTAATAGTAATTAGATGTGTTTGTATGCTACCTGCATGTTGTGAAGATTATGTATGTCTAAGCTTTATATTTTACATTTTCAGATGAATGACATAATGCTTTACACATATCCCCAGCAAGATGGCAAATACAGACTCATCAACAGATTACCTCTGGCAGGGATGAAAGTAGGACGGCTAACGTTTGTGGATGCTTCAACTGTTGATTACTATTAATTATAATTAGGATGACTATGATTATTAAACCTTTCTCACTCTGCCTGTCTTTCAGGTCAGTAAGCCACCTATGGAGAGTGCTCAGAGTGCAATAAAGATAGAAGTGAAAGATATAAGCATCACTTTGTCTGCAAGGCAAGAGACAAACACATCACATGTACTGTACTGTGTGTGTTCAGTGTGTCTGATGCTTGTGTTTGTGCGCGCAGCTCCTGCATTGAACGAGACGGCTGGTTTGTCACAATGAACCGGACACTGGTGGATCTTGGCTCTGCATCAGGAGATCCAGTGGACAGTTTTGAGGTTAGGATGCTTCAAGGGGTCATGAAACCAACCCCTCTTTCGAATCAAGTCTACCTCAGAATAAATGAAATTGAATAATTAAATAGAATAAATAAAATATGAATAATTTGGACATATGAAGCTGACTCGCTCCCTCTCTTCGAGGATTCCCTCGAAGGAACAAGTGAAGGGAAGTTTGCAAGTGCATGTCTAAAAGTAGATTGGAACGCAGACATAATCCCCTCTCTCCAACTTTATTTCCTGTCAATATCACCTGTCCTATCATAATAAAGGCAAATACGCCAAACAAAAAAAAACTGTTTATTTTAAAATTTAGATTCTCGCATGTCTACTTTTCGTATCTGTTTGCGTTTGAATGCATCTGATGGAAGCATGGTCCATCCGATGTTCCGGTGTCCGTCTGAGCACTCTTGTAAACCAGTGATCATTAGAGTCAATTCCAGTCATATCTGTTGAGTTTGTGAACACAAAAGCTTATCGGCTGTGGTCAGGAATCCACCCAGCAGCACTCAAAATGCAAGCAGGAAATGCTGTAATTGTCACATTTTATACATTTTAGGACAGAATTGTAAAAGTTCTGACAACACTACCATCACCGCGACCCATCATAGACTACACTGTGGTCTTACAGCTTTGCCAAATAATTCAGAAATGTCTTCTAATAAGATAAGAAAACTCAGTCTTATGAATAATAATTAGAAACCTACACATCATTGAAGTACTCACAGACTTATGACACATCAGCAGCAGTGACACCAACCTGATATAGATGTTAAACACTGAAGATAAAAATAGGGGGGAAAAACTTAAGATTAGGGGCGAGGCAGTGGCGCAGTAGGTAGTGCTGTTGCCTCACAGCAAGAAGGTCACTGGGTCGCTGGTTTGAACCTCGGCTCAGTTGGCGTTTCTGTGTGGAGTTTGCATGTCCTCCCTGCCTTGGCGTGGGTTTCCTCCGGGTGCTCCGGTTTCCCCCACAGTCCAAAGACATGCTGTACAGGTGAATTGAGTAGGCTAAATTGTCCGTAGTGTATGAGTCGGTGTGTGAATGTGTGTGTGGATGTTTCCCAGATATGGGTTGCGGCTGGAAGGGCATCCGCTGCGTAAAAACTTGCTAGATAGGTTGCCGGTTCATTCCACTGTGGCAACCCCGGATTAATAAAGGGACTAAGCCGACAAGAAAATGAATGAATGAAAACTTAAGATTAGCCATTTACTCCCTAACCTTAAAACTAACAAATGCTAATCCGTTAACATTTGTTAGCTTTTCATCTTTCTTAAATCAAGAAGCATTTCTTAAAACAAGAAGTAAGAAAAATAATCTTGCTTTAGCTTTGAGATAAGCTTATTTTACTTACTCAACTGGCAGATAGTTTTTAAAGCTACATTAAACAATTAATTTTGACTTATTATTTCTAAAAACAAAACAGTATAACCTGTCTAAAAATGATTCTTGATTTAGAAATTTTGACTAAAACAAGACAATTTTTTGCAGTGTGTTGTCTTAATTGATGTTCAAAACACATAAATCTGATAAAAACTTAGTCCAGGGGTCCGTTCTTCGTACCTCGCTTAAATGATCTAAGATTATTTGGCAGATCCTGGATCTTTTAATCTTGATAACTGATCTCTCGCTAATTTGGTTCTTCAAACAAGTTTGCGAATCAGATTAGAATGTCTGGATGAACTGATCTGAGATCGCTGCGTGTGTTGTGAAGGACAGATCTGTCGATCCTCGAAATCATGATCAGCAATGCAACGATTGGCTGACGGCACAGCAGCGTAATGACATCATCTGATTAATATTCAATTATCCATGTGAGCAAAATTACATCAAATTAGCAGTAAACGGTGCGTTAAATATGACACGCAAGAACTTTCCACATTTGTTGTGAGCTGCAGGCTTTACACTTTCATTTATCAAGACAAGAGTATTCATCATGTATTTCAATGCAAATCAATGTATTTAGTTCTACGTTTAGAAAAGATTTTCTTCATAATAGTAGCCGTTTTTTAATCGGTGTAAAGAATAACTGGTTGTTTACAAAAGCATTTTCATATTGGTAAAGGTGTCTGCAACTTTTGTGAAGCATCAAATCACTGGCATATTAACTATCAAAATATGTTTATGACTGCATAAATGTATTATTGCTTAAAAAAATCACATATTGTGCATTTCTATTATACACAATTTGTTCTAAAGCGATCTAATAAGTTCATTTCAATAAGTTTTCTCTTTGCACCAGATGGCAGTCTTTGTACTTTCATTTCGAGGGTGCAGATTGCATACATTTTATTAATATGTATAACTTTATTTATTTTATTAATGACTATAACTTTATATATATATTTAAAAATTATGTATTATTTTCCCAAGTGTAACTACTACTGTAAGAAAATATCAGAATTCGGTACATACTTTCTGTATTATCTTTGCTTGAACTAAGCCGATCTAATCCTGTTTATATGAATTAAACCTGCTCCCGATCAGGTTTGACCTAGCAGAACTGTTGCCATGACAACAACTCTCGGATCAGCTTTGAAGAACGAAACGATCCTGGATCGTGTCAAATCGTCAATATCCAAATCCAGCTAACTGAGTAATCCACGTACGAAGAACGGACCCCAGGGTTTTATGATCCTTCAAAGGGGGTCATGAGCAGAGAAATCATATGATGAAATGATATGATGAATAACATCCTGTAAGATTCAGATGTCAAACATTTCTGGTTAGTCTAAAACAGCTTATACACATTACAGTCAAGCTGCCAAAATGAAGCAGGTTGCGTATGTGTCACTTTATTTACATAACAGTGTGGCTAAACTCATCCTCCACAGAAGATCAGCTCCTGTTTCTCCACCCACCAATATGTGCTGCAATAGCTAAATAAAGAGAGTGGAAAACACAGATCTAAACAAAACCAAAAACCACAAAGATGCTCCAGAACACTTTAACAGAACTGAACACCTCACAATTCACTACAAAAGAGTTTTTAAAAAGGCAGTTCATTTGCACTTTTAAATGGATGTGTCAAAGTGGCACCTGAAAGAGTTGACATTTTGTTTCTGGTTTTGAAATGATGCCCTTTGTGTATTAGTTGGTAGAAAGCCCAGAGAAGTGCCTTGGAGAAAACGCGCCGCCGCTGTTGTCAGTTTCCCAGGTGACGGTTTGCATGAACTGTCCGTCACATTTCAGCCTCACGAACAGACGGCATCACTGCCATGCCTGTGGCAAGGTACAAACACACACACAGTAATACACACGAGAACCATTCACAAGCTTAATTCTGTTTTTCTCGTCTTATAGGTTGTTTGCAGAGATTGTTGCAGGAACAAATTTCCCCTCAAATACATGAAGAACAGACGTGCCAAAGTGTGTGATCATTGTTACACTGAACTGCGCAAAAATGGTACAAACGCTACGTCTTTCATGCATTGAGAGTATACAGTTATGATTGCTTGAATCTTATCATGTGTTTGTATTCTCTTGAGAGATGTTGCCACAGTAATAGAGGGCTCCAGCCGTCCGCTTTCTGCTGTCTTTCAAAACATTCATCCATCCAGTCTGTGGAGGAGCCGCAAAGGACAGTTGACTTTCAACCAGGTATCCCATAACCATGTCCTATACCTGAATATAGTGATTTTAAACAGTGTTTCACATTTACAGTATGAATTGCATGGTTTGTAAGTGACTTAGGTAAGGAAGTGTCCTCAAATAACATTGTTTAATGCAGTGCATTTCAAGGTTGGAGCTGAAAGGTCTTAAGTGCTTAAGTGTATTAAAATTAATTTGAACTTATGCCCCTTTGACTTAAATGTGTGAACTTGTTTCATCCCAAAATTCAAAGAAACGCGGACAAACATGTTTACATATTATTAAGTGTATTTGTCTGTTTAAACACAACCTAATTCCAAAGTGTCCTGGGATCAGTTTATCATACTGAGCACATCCGTCAGTCAGCGCTTATTCACTGATTCAGAGGTTGCCATGAAGGCCGATGATCGACGAACAGCTTTGATGAATAGAAAGTGAATGCAGACATTTTTTATATTCATTTCATCGTGCTTTCAAGTATTAAAAATATTGAAGAAATGTGGGAAAATACTTAATGATAGGATGATAGCGGGATAGAATGGTAAACTATGGGAGAATCCCGGCAGAAACTGGAGGGTTGACTTGTATATAGTAAAGAGGAGTTGTTTGTGGAACAACAGTTTTGAGAGGGAACGCAAAAACTTTCAAATCTATATTTTTCTATCGCTGTTTTTTTTCTTCCACCCAGTTTTTTTTCTTCCATCATTTTTTCCCCACCATCACGTCCCTTCCGGGTCTCCGTAGATTTTTCAAAATACATTTAATTTAAATAATAATTTTCATATTTTATGAATGTTTTTTAATTATGATTAATTTTTAATCAGATGTAAAATGTGCAGCATTAGTGTATTATTGTGTATAAATTTAATTTCAAAATAAAAACTAAATCTACTAAATAACTTTTTTTTTAACTGATTAAAAATGTGATTTAGGGCTGAATGATATTGCAAAAATCTAACATTGTGATATTTTTTATTCTGTGATATATATTGCGATACAAGTACAATTTCACTACATGTGTTGAATAATTATTTGGAAAGAATTTATAATTTTAGATTGATTGGGGTGATTCTGCAGGGCAGTGCACCTGTATGAAATATAATAAACAATCTACAAGCTTAGATACATTCTATAAAGAAAAAGATGAAGTGATATAAACAGCATTTTACAGGTGTTTTAAGGAGTCGAACTGTATTCAGGGATACAGTAATTGAATACTGAAATGTAAATTAATACTGCATAGTTTTCATTTTATAAGCTATTCAATAGAATTTATCATTACTAATTTGTCATTAAGTCAAAGCCAGTACAATTTCTTAGGCCTGAATGCTTTTAAAACCCTCACACAGTCACAGGCCTCAAAAAAACACTTGCGAAATGATCAAATAAATCCAGACTCAACATTGAGTATGCTCGCGATGTTACTATTGTGATTGGTATCGATGCTGAAAATAAATTTAAAATATTTAAATGAAGCTTAAAAGAGGAAAAATTTGATAGAATTTTAAACAAATTCTGATATAAAAATATTTTGGAAAAAAAATCAGTAACGTTAAAATTATGTTTGAAATACCTATACAAATATTACTAAATAAGCTAGAAATTTAAAACTGAAGACTTTTTTGAATTGCCACATGTGTGTTATGAGAATAATGAGATACATTTAATATCAAATTAAATAATATGTATTTGTTGGTGTTTAATAGCATTATGGTGTGTTGTTGTTTAGGTGACGGGGTCTGAGGGTGTGATGAGCGGGACCCTGCAGAGGTGCAGAAACAGCAAAAGAAGCTGGAGGAGCCTGTGGTTCCTCCTGAAAGATAAAGTTCTCTACACGTACCCACAGCCTGAAGTAAGGCACACACTCAAACTTTTCACACATTAACCTCAAACGTGCAGTTTCTAATCTCTAGGTGTTTTTTTGTGTGTGTGTCTTATATAAGGAAAGGGTCGCGTGTGAGACGCTTCCTCTGCTGGGTTTCTCTGTAAGGTCTGAGGCTGAAGGAGAAAGCAGTGTGTTTCAGCTCTACCATAAAAGCACTCTCTTCTACACTTTCAGAGCCCAGGACAGTCACACTGCACAGAGGTTATTACATCACACTCACACTTAGAGTATTTAGTAGATAGTGGATAGATACACTCAAAAAATTAAATTGTTTTATGTTCAACCCATTTAAATTTGTAAAAAAAAATCTATAATAAAGTTAACTTACAGTTTTTCTCAGTCACTTTGGTGCATTTCTCACAACACCATTTACATTTGCACAACAGTTAATGCATTTTTCTAATTAATTAGTCATTTGTGCACATCATAGTAGCAGTTTCTCATTCCTTCCACCAAATTGCAAATGCTTTTGGACATGCAACAATTGCTTTCATACAACTCTCTGCTGTTTATAACATTATCATTTGCTTATGTCATGTCAGTCAAAATTAACTAAACTTGTGAATGCTGAATAGTCATTGCATATAAAACTAATAGTCCTCATTTCATTACTTGAGTCATTACATACAAAAATGTTGAACTAGTTGTCAAATCTTTCAAGCAAATTTCATAAAGATTTTTGGTCTTTTTTTCTTCCTGAAAATGTCTTCTAAATTGAACAGTTTCATAAATAATTTACAGACAATATGCAATATGGTTTACGGTTGTGCACAGCTCTACTCAAAGGAAGTTTGTGTTTGTTGTAAATAAAGGTTTATTTATTCTTTTGCACAATGCTGTGAATAAATTAGAATTGCAAAGAGCAAATGCAGTAAAAATGTGAAACATACATATTCAGTGTCTTGTACTCAGATACCTCACTAAATGCAGTGATGTTTAACGTTACTGTAGTTTTCAAATGCTTGTGCAAACAGTATATAATGCTGTCTTGAGCATTTTCTGGAAGTGTTAACAAAATCTTATTTTTTTACATTGGAAAAAATGTACAGAGTAAACTGTCATAATGAAAACATGACAGATATTTGACTATCTTGTTCATAAACAATGGTGACAGGACTTTTCATTTTGATGACACTGATACTTTCATTGACATCAATACTTGCTTTTGAGGAATGAGCTATCCATTTTGAGCTAAGTGTTGTGAGAAATGCACCAAAGCGACTGAGAAAAATTGTAATTCCTTCATGATGTCCCAACACAAATTGATTGTGTGGAACCCAGCAATTTTACTGGATAGATAGATGTATGAATGGAGGGATGGATGGATGGATGGATGGATGGATGGATGGATGGATGGATAGATAGATAGATAGATGGATAGATGGATGGATAGATAGATAGATAGATAGATAGATAGATAGATAGATAGATAGATAGATAGATAGATAGATAGATAGATAGATAGATAGATAGATGGAGAGATGGAGAGATGGAGAGATGGATGGAGAGATAGATGGAGAGATGGATGGATAGAAAGATGGAGAGATAGTTGGGTAAATAGATAGATAGATAGATAGATAGATAGATAGATAGATAGATAGATAGATAGATAGATAGATAGATAGATAGATAGATAGATAGATAGATAGATAGATAGATAGATAGATAGATAGATAGATAGATAGATAGAGAGATGGAGAGATGGATGGAGAGATAGATGGAGAGATGGATGGATAGAAAGATGGAGAGATAGTTTGGTAGATAGATAGATAGATAGATAGATAGATAGATAGATAGATAGATAGATAGATAGATAGATAGATAGATAGATAGATAGATAGATAGATGGATGGATGGATGGATGGATGGATGGATGGATGGATGGATGGATGGATGGATGGATGGATAGATAGATGGAGAGATGGATGGAGAGATGGATGGATAGAAAGATGGATAGGTAGATAGATAGATAGATAGATAGATAGATAGATAGATAGATAGATAGATAGATAGATAGATAGATAGATAGATAGATAGATAGATAGATAGATAGATAGATAGATGGATGGATGGATGGATGGATGGATGGATGGATGGATGGATAGATATTTTAGATGAATTGATGGATAGATATTATAAAAATAATATATAAACACACACATATACTGTATTTGTACATAACATATATACAGTATGTTTAATACTATTTCAATGTGATCATTCTGTTCTATTCTAGGTGGGTCAATGCCATGGAAGAGGCTACGGTCTTCTAGCATCATCCATCCTGCTCCTGTCTTCTCACATCTGAAATTAAATCTTCGATTGATCATTGGAGAGCGATGCATTTGCACGTCATACCCGAAAACCCTTCCCAGTGTGAGTGGGAGCATAATCAGCCATCCCTACACTATCATGACGCCACAGGCATATTTTTGGAATGGCAAGGGAACAAAACGCTCACACTCAGACATTTATATAGAGCCAAACGCTTCTTCCAAAGACCTCGCTGAGCCATGGACACACTTTAAAAGGCTCACTTTAGCACTTCCAGCTGTCATTTTTTAAAACTAATGAGATGTTGCTTTAACTTAACTAAATCATTATACATGGTAATATATTACACAGAGCACTAAAATATAGAAGGACAGATTCTGGATGTGAAGAGCAGCATGTATTTATATGATATTCTTATTAGATTTCTGTTTACTACATATATGGACGAATATTATAAGTCATTTTTGACTTATTTTTGGACTGAGTTAATAACTTGCAACAGAGCTGGTATTCTTGTTGCTATTAATGATGATAATGTAATGTTTAATTTACTTATTTTGTCCAAACTGCCTTTCTGTGCACTTGAAATGTTATCAGTGACTACATTTACATGGACATCAGTAATTGAATTATTGGCCTTAATCTGAATAAGACAATAATATGGTTAAGGTGTTGACATGAATTGCTTGCTGAGTGTTCCATTCATGTTCTTCTTTTACGTGTTATAGCACAAAATTCGATGAACATCATTGCATCATCCACATTTCCTCCGGTATGGGGTTCCATTTGTGCCAAAATTCCCTTGCCTGCTTTCTGTTTTGTACTTCACAATTGTCTTCATCTACTCTCATTGCCCATATGTTCAGAGTCGTTCACGTACTTGTTGTCTGTTGATGTCGTCTTAATCTGTTGTTCTGTTGATTTTTCTCTGTTTTGTACGGTCATATTCTATGGAGTATTCTGTCATCTGATTTGCTGTCCTTATTGTTGTCTATTCATCTTTACTGTTATCCTTACCGTTGTATTGTCGTCCTTCTGGTTGTTTATTCTGTCATCCTCACCCTTGTCTTTGCTGACGTTTGTTCTGTCGTCCTTACTGTCGTCTATGCTGTCATTACCATTGTCTTTGCTGTCATCCATGCTGCAGTTTATTCTGTCATCCTTACGCCCCATTCACACGGGGCTCGGGTGACATCAGGCTTTGGCGAACTGCATTGTGGATCTGTTGGCGCCGCTTCAGAGGCGTTGCTCGCTGCAAAAGTTGGGACTTAAACTTTAAATAAATTTTTTCAAGCGCCGATGGAAGTGTCAGCCAAACAGATCGCTTTATGCAAATACACCAGCTCAGACAGTGGCCTATTGCTGACTAATTTCATTGGCTGACGCTGTTATGACGATCGCGTCAGCCCCAACTTCAGACATGCCGTCTGTCAAGCATTGACGCTAAAGCAATGACTGTAAAAAATATGGACGACGCGACAGCCCTTTTTCCCATTGAACGCCTTGAGGGCAAAACGCCTGCTTAACGGGCACAAACTGTCGCAAAAGACGGCTGAAATTGGAGCCAGACATGCGCAGAAGGATTGTCTGATGGAGCCAGAGGAGGAGCCGCGAAAATGAGCAGAGTCGAGCTTCCAATCAAACGCTTTATGTAAAATCAACTACGCCCCCGAACTTCTCAGCATGCGTTTGCTGTCATATCAACACAAATGGATGTAATAACGTTAACAAATATGAGGGTTTTATATATTCAATCGCGCCAGCTCCGGGCCGCAGCGCATAACTTACTCGCGGCGTCGCGGGCTGATTCCGGCTCGCATGCGGCAGCGCCTGCTCGCTCGACCGCCGCATCTGGCTCGATTGACTCGGGCTGGAATTGGGTAGTGAGTCCAGGCATCCGGAGTAGGTCCAGCAGAGGTAACATTAGTCAGTCTGAGCTCTAAGAGATAAGTCTCCGGCAGGCGAGAATCTAGCCGGAAATGTGTTTTGCTATCTGGGTGGCTAGGCGTGTATCAGCAAAACTAATAAAGCCCGAAAAAAGCCCTGACCTTAGCGAATAAACAGTGTTCCACCAGGATCATGTATGTCAGAAACTATAGTTTACTGCTGAACTCATTTTGTCATGGTAAAATAACACAGAAATCGAATAATAACACTTCAGTCTCCTGCCGAAGCTCAGACGCCGCGCTTTGAGAAACTGTCAATCACAGCTGTCAATCACGATGACACGCCCAGCATTAAATTACTGCTAAAAACAAACTGTTTACAAAAATGAAGATCTGCACCTATTTCAGCACAATAACCAGTGCCTTAATCGACCAGAACTATCTTTCGGGACATTTTATTGCAAGTGTGATATTTTTTTTTATTTGGGCTCAAGTCTCCTTCATTAACACGGAGGAGGCGGGCTTTATGACTTGTACTGCAGCCAGCCCCCAGGGGGCGATCTAACGGCCGAAACCTTCACTCAAACGTAGGCTTGCGGCACACTTGCGCTAAAGCCCCATGTGAATGGCATCCTTACTGTCGTCAATATATTTTTTGAGGTATTATGGGTTTCAAGGGAGCATTTTGAGTAGAGACACCATTTTGACAATTTTCCTGTATTTACAAATAGTTTTTTTTTCCGGTGAATGTCTTTTTCTTTTGGTTTGACTAATAAAATCAGTATATAATCAATAATATTAGTATTGCTGTGTAACATAGGTTGGGAGATGTTTTTTTTAATAATTACAATTTGTGATATGGACTTCAACTTTACATACATACTTAAAAAAGATATATATGTTTATTAATCCAGGAACAGTTTACAAATGTACGTTAAAAAAGCATATCAGATGACAGAACATGACAGTACAAAACAGAAAAATCAACAGGACAACAGATTAAGACGACATCAACAGACAACATGTACGTGTACGTCAACAATGCAGATTTTTCTGAACATGCAGGAAATGAGAGTAGATGAAGACATGTGAAGTACAAAGCAGAAGGCAGACAAGGGTATTTTGGCACAAATGGAACTCCATAAATTCAGGCGCTTTATTTTTAATTTGTCGACTTTAACTGCAGTTTGGCACTTTTGTTTTTGTTCGGGAACATTTTATGCATGAACTGCTGGAAGAGTGTAGTTTCATTGAATTTGATACCATTCGCTGTATGTGGAAAAACCTTCGCATTTTACAGGTATCTGTGGTCCTTCACTGACTCGGTAGGTGCAGAGAATAGTGTCAAACAGCTGTGTATAAACTATACTAAAATCACTGTTTATGGTGGATTCTTAATCAGAGTATTGTCTTAATCCTATTAAAATTGGATTATTGGTGTCCATGTAAACTTACTCAATGTCATCTACAAACTGAGGCCTTAAAGGGACCACCCAAAATGTTTCTTGAGCAGAAGATTAAGGATTATATATTGTTAAATGTGTTTCTTGGTGATTCTTGAGTCATAAAAACAAATAAAAGAAATAATACTAATATTTTCTGAAGCAAAATGATCACTCTTTTGTTAAATAATGATTGTCTTTTTTTTTCTTTTCTTTTTTTGCACCAACCATCAATTTTGCTTCATAAGATCTCAGTGTATCATCAGGAGCCACTGGTATTAATTTTGTTTTGCTTGTTTATGTTTTTTGACTCTCAAAGTTCCACTAGCCATTGACTTTCTTTTAATTTATTTATTTCTTTTTATTAATCGGTGGTTATTTTAATACATCATCACATGCAAAAACAAGAAAAATGGAAAATATACAATCAAGTATACAGGAAACAAACAGTCAGGATAGGAGCTAAATATGCACCATAGGATAAAAAATCGGGGCGTCATGGTGGTGCAGTGGGATAATGAAAATAGTTGAAAAATATTCAAGTTTTTTGACATTTATAATAAAAGGCCGGGATTTTATTGGGAGAGGAGCGCAGGCTGTTCCCTCTACATTTTACTTACATTTTTGAATCACCAAGGATGACAGTTTTAGCTAAAAAAAAAATAATCTATAATGTTCTGCTGAAGAAATAAATCACACAACTTAGATGGCAAATGTTCATTTTGGGTGAAATATTCCTTTAATCAGTATTTATAATGAAAATTTAAGTAGTTTGTATTAACTCTGTTATACAATTTAAGTAAATATTTGAAAAAATGGAGTGCACTTGTGGGTTCTTGAGCCTCATGTCTCAACTTCCCTTTTTGTCTTCCTTTTGCATTACAAGTTGCTTCCTTAATGTGGTTATGCGTATCATACCAATAACCTCAAGCATTGACCACTGCTGCAATCAAACCGTTAAAAATACAGCACTTCAATTCTGCTCTCAAATGTACGCAATGCAAATCATTCCAATGGAAACCATATTTACGATCAGCTCTATATCTTTGGTCTAAATTGCATTTTCGTCTTCCACGACAGCCGTGTTAAGCCTGCAGAGAGTCAATTTTAGAGATGCGATTCTGTGATTAAGTTTCTTCATGTCAGTAATTAAAGTGTGTATTACAGAATGAGACTGTGTGTGAGGGATATGAAGAAAAGGGGAGGGCTGACGCTGCCCTGCTTCCACGTCCCCAGGAGACGGTGTGACCCAGAACAGAGTGAGAAAGCAGGGATGAGAGGAGTTTGTTTTCTGGAGTACCTGAAAGTTACGGACACCTTGTCCCAAATAAGAGACACATTCATCATTGTAGCTCTCTTTCTCTCAATTTTACTTTCCTCCAGAGTCACTCTGATCTCAGGCTCTATACATTGTTCGTGCAGCCTCACACACTCCATTATTCTGAAAGCTTAAATTCATACTTTATTCGGTACACCTTACTAATACTTGGTCGTGCCCATTTTTGATTTCAGAGTTGCATTTTCTTAATGGCACAGATTCAGCAAGGTGCTGGAATCATTCCTTAGAGATTTGGATCATATAGACCTACAGCATCACATAGTTGCGTGAACTTGTTGAAACCAGTTTAAGATTTAAATTGGTACGTTAGATGCTATCCAACTGGAAGTAGCCATTATAAGTTACATTACGGTTATTGGTTATAAGGTGATGAAAATCGTAATTTTCTCTGCACCATTACGCCAGTCTGAACCATTCAACCAATTCAGGATGGATTCAAGCTTTTATGTTGCTCATGACAAAATTCTGACACTTCTATTTAAATGTTGCAGCAGGAATCTTAACACTTGTTCTTCACTTGTCAGCCTTTTTCAAATTTTCTGTTTTTAATTTATGCTCTTTTGATGCTGTAGCCCTCTATAATAATTCCTTATGTTTATATAGCGCTTTTCTGGACACTCTTTTACACATGGGAGGGAATCTCATCCACAACCAGTGTGCAGTGTCAGCCTGGATGCCAGGGTTAAACCCATACACTTTTTCTGGGTTTTTTTATGAAAGATGGCACTAACTGAGCAATATAGAGTGCCCATCAATATACTGGGGCATTAGAGAGGGTGCTCGCTGCAGAGCCATTTGAGGAGAGCTGAGCTCCAGCGAGGGGGAGCATGAGCTGTCGCTCCTCCTCCTGTAAGCTGTTTTAATGCGTACACCAACCCCACCCCTAACCCTACCCCCAGTGACATCACTTGTAGAAGAAGTGCAAAAAAGGTGGAGCTCAAGCTTAAGCTCCCCCTCTCTGGAGCTCAGCTCTCCTCAAATGGCTCTGCAGCGAGCACCACTTGGAGCATTAGGACTCACACAGACTGCAGGTTGGGCGCCCCTTGCTGGCCAAACTAACACCACTTCTGGCAGCAACCTAGCTTTTCTATGTGGTCTCCCTTCCAGGTACTGACCGGGCGCAGCCCTGCTTAGCTTCATTGGGCGAACATATTAGAGTTGCAGAGTTGCCGGCTAATCATCTACAGGATTCGGAAGCTTTACTGTTCTACTGACTGATAGGCAGGTTAGAGTAATTAAGTTATTGAATAACGATGGGTTGCTCTGTAGGCTATCGAAAAAATATAGCTTAAAGGGGCTAATAATTTTGACCTTAAAATGGTTTTAAAAAAATAAAAACTGCTTTTATTCTAGCCAAAATGAAACAAATAAGACTTTCTCCAGAATAAAAAAAATAATCAGACATACTGTGAAAAATTACTTGCTCTTTTAAACATCATTTGGAAAAAATAAAATAATTATTCAAAGGGGAGCTAATAATTCTAAATTTAACTATGTGTGTGTGTGTGTGTGTGTATGTGTGTGTGTGTGTGTGTGTGTGTGTGTGTGTGTGTGTGTGTGTGTGTGTGTTTGTGTATGTATGTATGTATATATATATATATATATTAGGGCTGTACAATATTGGACAAATCTGACATT